CTCGCCCTCTCTCGCCCTCGCCCTCTCTCGCCCTCGCCCTCTCTCGCCCTCGCCCTCTCTCGCCCTCGCCCTCTCTCGCCCTCGCCCTCTCTCGCCCTCTCTCTCTGAAATTTCTCTTTTGAAATTTCTGTGCATCCCTAGTTAGAATACAAGCCATGTCTTATCTAGGATCAGCACCTGACCTCACACGAATACTCTTTCAGCTGAATGAGCACAGATTCACACAGATACACTCCAAAATCTTCTGGAATGTCTTCCCAGAATGATGCCCATTATTTTGAAATGGGATGTCCAACAAGCCTTTAGGTGTGATGGTCAGGTCACCAGTCCTTTGGCCATATAGTGTATATATCAGCCATAGTAGGCTATCTTCTGTGAACAGAAGATGTATTTTTTAAAGAAACCCACTTTTCATTTTGCTGCCCCTCCGATGGGTGCGTGGGCAGGATGAAAGTCCCCCTGGACAGGTGATAGCCTGTTGTTGATTGTGTTCTCTTAATTGCTAACTGCAAACATTATAAAGTTTGATATAACACCAACCTTTGATATGTTTTCAGCGAATGTATAAGGCTGGGTTCACACTTAGGCGTATCGAATATGCGCATTTGTACCGCGATTCGAGGTAAAAAAAAAACGCGTGACAAACGCGCGTTTCCGAGGGCTACTTGGCTGTATCCCAATGGATACGCGCGACAAAAATGCCCCAAAGAAGCTCCTGTACTTCTTTGGGCGTAGGGCGTTTTGTACCATACCCATAGGAAATAATGGGATTTCGGTGTTTGAGCGTTTTGCAGAGCGTTCGAACGCGCTACAAAACGCCCAGGTGTGAACCAGGCCTTAGCATATTAGCAGTTGGTGAAATGATTGTTCTAAAAAAAAAAAGTAGAGCAAAGCATGTATAATACACCCTCACATATATTCTTGGTGTCACTGTAGAGCCTTAATGGTGAAACACTAATACCTTGCACACAGACCCTTTGTCTGATAAATCCCTAAAGCCTTATCTACAAGAGTGTGTTTCTGCAAGAAGAAACTTCAACCGCATGCTGGCATGAATTAATGAAAGATGTTGTTTTTGTTCAAACAGGGATAACCACATATTTAGACTAGAAGAAAACCATGGTCATGCATAGGGGTAGCTGCTTACACATACATAGCCTAGAAGTACTATAACTGCTTCCTGCTCCTGTGCTAGTATAATAGGAAGCTGGTTTTATATTGCTCTTTGTCTTTCTTGTGTCACATGACAGTCTTGCTTGTGATTTTTCCACTAGGAGTTGAATCGTCTTAGAAAGGCAGCACTTGCATTTGGGTTCCTGGACCTCTTAAAGGGAGTGTCTGATATGCTGGAGAGGGAATGTACTCTGCTTCCTGATAATGCCCATCCTGATGCCGCCTTCCAGCTCTCACATGCAGCAGCTCAGCTCAAACTGGCCAGCACTGGAAACTCTGACCATGCAGCCTATGACCATAACATTGTGCCTCTGCAGACAGACTTCTCTGGCCGTGGCTCAGACAGAATATGAAGACCTGATATATCCTTGTGTGACGTCAGTGGAGGAATTGCCCTCTACCTTGTAAAGTCTGTTGGCTTTCCAGCAAGAAAACAGCTTAAAAATGATCTGTGGGTGGGTGAACAACTTCAGAGAGAACCTGCAACAGAATCGTTTGTTGGAAACGGGCCAGGATTGAGAACCTGTTTGTTCAGATAGAGCAGCCCATTGCTCTATAAAATGTGGAAGAACAGTCATGGTCTACTGATATGTGTACTGTATATATTAACATAAGAAATCCTCAGACATGCCTGCAGATCCTAGGGCTAAAAGACTTACCTGTCACCACTTTCTACGGTGAGGAGACTTGGGCCACGAATACATGGCCCTTATTCACACACACATTGGGACTGTGGACGCACGTTTGCAAGCATTGCACAATCCAGTATCAAACATGTGCAGGAGTCTATACTTTCATGCAAAGGTGTTTTTATAATGTTTTGGAATATTTCTTTGACCAATAAGAAATCATTTATTTTATTTTATAGAAGGCTTATCACTGAATATGTGCGATCGTTAAGGATGATCAGTCAGGAATAAATCTTCTGGCAGGTCTTGATGGGACACAGTGGTGGCAATGGTGGGGGTTTTATTGTACATCATTCTCAATAACCGATCAAACCACTAAGGGCAGAGTTAGGCTGGCTGTATGGGGGGGGAGGGGGGCTGGCTGGCTGACTGACTGACTCCTATGGTTATTCCTGGCAGAAATATGTGGTAATCCTGTGGATTAACACTTTTAAGTTGACTCTACGCTAATGGATATTTTGTTATAAAATAATAGAATTCGATTTATTATGTAGGTACCACATCCCTTGTTATGACTTATCCTAACCATATTATGCAAAACATGGAACAAAGCAACCAATATATCAAAATAATCTGAGCAATCTAGATTGTAAAAAATACAGACTTCTATTTCTGTTCAAATGTTCTTTAAATCACAGATTGAATATTGTAACATCCAACTATCTCAGAACCTATAGTATTAAATAAAATACATTTAAAAATAATGTAAAAAAATGTTTTAAAAACCCCCGCGAGCATGAGCATCATGACATAAACACGCATCGGGTGCACCTACCTACGAAAACAAGGATCGCGCTACACATGTTGGGCATCACCGCGCACGCCAGAGGGAGGGCAATAATTCTAGGGCCAATATTTATGCTTATCTCAAAACTGATGACCTGTGGGAGCTTTTAAAATAGTCTATGGACTTTTTGGGGTACTGAATTTTGTTGCCGTTTCACAGACACACACAATTTTTAACCTGGACATGTTGGGTATCTATTTACTCGTTGTAACCTCATCTTTTATATTTTAAAAATGGGTATTTTATTGTGTATAGGGGCACTAAATCTAACTTAAGTGCATTTTTCACAAGATTTTTGGGTTTGATAATACGTTGCCCTAATATCGTGCAACATAAACATTTGCAACATTTTATTCTACAGGGTCTTGGCTTTCAGGAAATATATAATGTTTGGGGGTGTTAGGCCTAAAATGTGGATTATAACATCGGTGCAAAAAACAGGGGGGGGGGGGGGGGCCCGCTGTTTTAGGGG